GTGTGTGTGTGCGGGGGGGGGGGGGGGGGGGGGGAGGGGGTTCAACCAAGGTCTGGTGGATCTGCAGGACTAGCAACACTCCAGACCTAGAATAAAATCCGACAGTGTAGAGTACTTTAGATTTCAATTTTAGCTTTATTTTGGAGTGCTCACTTTGCGAACAAATTCGTTTACCGATGTGGTCTTAGGAACAGAACTCAATCGTTAAGTGAGGAGAGGTTGCTTACAGTACACTACTGTATAAACATTAAAAAACATATTAAAAACGTTATAAATGGTGCAAAGGTGACATTAAACAATATCAAAGATGGCTGACACAAACCCACTACCATTATAGTCTGCTCCTTGCTTAGAGACGAAATCATTTACTGACGTGGTCTTAGGAACGAACTCCATCGTTAAGTGAGGAGAGACTGTATTTAGATAAAACACCCCTGTCATCACTTGATGGAAGTATATGGAATCTTATTGCCCAGTACCTTTGATAGACCTTTGGTGAGTTTCAAGTCTCACTACTCTCGGAGCCTAGCCATGGGCCAGGCTCGTCTGGTGCTTGCCTGGTCAACCAGGCTGTTGGTGCTGGAGGCTCACTGCCCCAATTATCCATCACAGCCTGGTTAACCTGGGACCTGTTGAAGATAATTGTCCAGTTTTCTCTTGAAGGCTTCTACACTTGTTCCAGCAATTTTTTTTTTTTTTAACAAGTCGGCCATCTCCCACCGAGGCAGGGTGACCCAAAAAGAAAGAAAATCCCCAAAACAGAAAATACTTTCATCAACATTCAACACTTTCACCTCACTCACACATAATCACTGTTTTTGCAGAGGTGCTCAGAACACAACAGTTTAGAAGCACATACGTATAAAGATACACAACATATCCCTCCAAACTGCTAATATCCCAAAACCCCTCCTTTAGAGTGCAGGCATTGTACTTCCCATTTCCAGGACTCAAGTCCGGCTATATAAAAATAACTGGTTTCCCTGAATCCCTTCACTAAATACTACCCTGCTCACACTCCAACAGATCGTCAGGTCCCAAATACCATTCGTCTCCATTCACTCCTATCGAACACGCTCACGCACGCTTGCTGGAAGTCCAAGCCCCTTGCCCACAAAACCTCCTTTACCCCCTCTCTCCAACCCTTTCGAGGACGACCCCTACCCCGCCTTCCTTCCCATATACTGTAGATTTATATGCTTTCCATGTCATTCTACTTTGATCCATTCTCTCTAAATGACCAAACCACCTCAACAACCCCTCTTCTGCCCTCTGACTAATACTTTTATTAACTCCACACCTTTTCCTAATTTCCACACTCCGAATTTTCTGCATAATATTTACACCACACATTGCCCTTAAACAGGACATCTCCACTGCCTCCAACCGTCTCCTCGCTGCTGCATTTACCACCCAAGCTTCACACCCATATAAGAGTGTTGGTACTACTATACTTTCATACATTCCCTTCTTTGCCTCCATAGATAACGTTTTTTGACTCCACATATACCTCAACGCACAACTCACCTTTTTTCCCTCATCAATTCTATGATTAACCTCATCCTTCATAAATCCATCCGCCGACACATCAACTCCCAAGTATCTGAAAACATTCACTTCTTCCATACTCCACCTCCCCAATTTGATATCCAATTTTTCTTTATCTAAATCATTTGATACCCTCATCACCTTACTCTTTTCTATGTTCACTTTCAACTTTCTACCTTTACACACATTCCCAAACTCATCGACTAACCTTTGCAATTTTTCTTTAGAATCTCCCATAAGCACAGTATCATCAGCAAAAAGTAACTGTGTCAATTCCCATTTTGAATTTGATTTCCCAAAATTTAATCCCACCCCTCTCCCGAACACCCTAGCATTTACTTCCTTTACAACCCCATCTATAAATATATTAAACAACCATGGTGACATTACACATCCCTGTCTAAGACCTACTTTTACCGGGAAGTATTCTCCCTCTCTTCTACACACCCTAACCTGATCCTCACTATCCTCATAAAAACTCTTTACAGCATTTAATAACTTACCACCTATTCCATATACTTGCAACATCTGCCACATTGCTCCTCTATCCACTCTATCATATGCCTTTTCTAAATCCATAAATGCAATAAAAACTTCCCTACCTTTATGTAAATACTGTTCACATATATGCTTCAATGTAAACACTTGATCTACACATCCCCTACCCACTCTGAAACCTCCTTGCTCATCCGCAATCCTACATTCTGTCTTACATTCATCACATTTATGAATGTATATTAGACCCACCAGCTGGCATGTATTAGACGTGTGAGGTCGTTTGTTTACTCTTGAACATCGACAAAAATTTAACATTTCCGCTACTCTGAGCTCAGTTTCAAGCCATTTCCTATACTAAAACCAATCAAAATCATCTCTACTTTTGTAATATATCTTCCATTCTATCAAATGAGACCAAGAAATGGCAAATGCAACTATAAAAAACATACGAAAAAACACTGCAAAGCCGCTGTTTTAATAAAAAATCACGGTCTCAGTTTTTTTTCTCATTATACACTGTGTGCTGCAGGATTTGTTTTATGTGGTGCACACATACCACAAAGATGTATTCTCTCATATCTAGGCCCAAATTTACCACTCACAGCTTATCAGAGTGAGCCGAGCTCATGGCGTAGATCTACGGTTCGGACCCTGAACGTAAAGCCGTAGATCTATGGCACGGACCCTGAAAGGGTTAAAAGAAAGGTCAGCTGACACAATTATTTCCAAGTCTTTTACATGTTCCTTTCATTCTATTTGGTGACCCTCTTGAATTTCATACACAGTGTTCCTTTTGAGTTCTTCATTCTTTCCATACCTAAGCAGTTGGAACTTATCACCAATGAACGTCATGTTGTTCTCCACTGCCCACTGGAAAATCCTGCTTATGTCTTCCAGTAATTTTTCAGTATCTTCTACTATAGTGACTCATGCTTGTTTAAGTGTCATCTGCAAATGATGATACAAAACTGTGTTGCATGCTTTTATCTATGTCTGCTATTTAGATGAGAAATAGCAGAGGTGCCAAGACAGTGCCTTGGGGAACTGAACTTTTTACCTCGCTGATGCTGGATTTTGCTCTGTTTATTACTACTTTCTGTGTTCTGTGTATTATGAACCTGAGAATCCATCTACCTACCTTCCCCATAATGCCTATGGCTCTCATTTTGTGCGTTATCACTCCATGATTGCATTTGTCAAATAACTTTGCAAAATCTGTGTAAATCACATCTACGTTTTGGTCATCTTCCAATGCGGTTCAGCAGCTGTGACAGGCATGATCATCCTGCTCTAAAACCATGCTGGTTTGGGTTATGCTGGTCCATAAAATTTGTAATCTGCTGTCTCGTCACTCTTTCAAAGATTTTTATGATGTGAGAAGTTAGGGCTTCTGGTCTGTAATTTATAGCTAGTACTCTACTACCTCCTTCATGCAAAGGAGCTATGTCTGCACTCTTTAAAGACTCTTGATATTACACCTAGATCTAAGCTCTTTCTCCAAAGAATACTGAGGGCTCGTGCTAGTGGTACTTTGCACTTCTTTATGAATAGAGCATTCCATGAATCTGGTCCAGGTGCTGAATGAGTGGACATGTTATCCATTTCTTTTTTGAAATCTATGGGATTTGCACTAATGTCAATTAGTTGGTCTGTGCAGCCTTCTAAATATTTCAATAAAACATCTTAGTAAAAGAAACTGCGTGGTCCCATAAATACTGCCTCAAGTACTATATTTGAAACATTTCATCAACAAAGCTTGGAGTGATCTAAGACTCTCAGTCTGGGGATAGCACACTCTCAGCTCTCAAGTTTCAGTGTTAACTAGGTTTGAGAGTTACATCACTGGCTACAACATGATACTCTCACATTTCTAGGACCCTGATATAAGAATAACTTCTTCACTGCCAATGCAGCAGATAAGTCATGTAAAATCAACCTTGATAATACTGAGAATGAACTGAAACTCAGGAGAGAATTTTCTAATATCATCAAGCAGCAGTGAAATGAGTAAGACACACATGCAACACTTTTTTTTTTTTTTAAACACATCGGCCATCTCCCACTGAGGCAGGGTGATTCAAAAAAGAAAGAAACAATTTCACCATCATTCAACACTTCCACAACAGTTAGATATCATTAATTAAAGTAACATTTCGTCCACACAGTAGGCTTCTTCATTCTGAAGGATACCTGAACTATGTTTTCAAGGGTCAGCACTGCCATGACCTGGTTCCAGATCAGGCCTCACAGTGGATAGAGTCTGATCAACCAAGCTGTTACTACTTGCCAAACACAGTCCAATGTATGAACTACATCCTGGGTGGCCAGGAACTGATTTGAGGAACTTGTCAAATTCCCTCTTGAAGAAAGTAAGAGGTCTGTCGGTAAGTTCCAATTTGCATGAAAGGAGGAGCAATGTTGGGCTAAGCACTTTTAGATGTTATAGCGCTTAAAGTGCTATAACATCTAAAAGCACATATTATATCATTAACTAGTGTACATAGTTTTAAACATTAAAACAACAAAAAATCAATTACATCTTGGCATCAATAAACTGTAAAACGTAAATATAGCCAAAATATTTATGTCACAGTTGCTGATGAGTGATAATTGTTTCATCAATTTCAACACACCGTAAAATCCTAAGTTTTTATCAGAGTCAACTCATTGTAGTCTTACTGATTCAGAAAACTACACTCTTTCATTCTATATGATTTTTTTTTCCCACACAGAAGAATTTTCATGTGTGTGTGTGTGTCACAGATTAGGGGTTAATGTAAGTGTTTTTCTCAGTTTTATACCAAGTGTTCAGCAGAGCCAGTAAAGAAACTATCAGAGAGAAAAAGGAGTTACATCTCTCTTATTTCCTCCCCACAGTAGTATTTTCATGTGTGACTGCTATCAACTACACTACTACCTGACAAATTTTATTTCTGAAATGAAATGATACTAACCTTCCTGGATACAACATTTTTGATGGGCACAAGAAATCTTTCAGGCATGTTGAAGGCTATATGTCCCAGGGATACAACAGATGTTCTGAAATGTGGACTCTCAATTGTCAGCTGTTCTTTGATTTTCTGTGAAAGCAAAATTAAATGTATATTGTAAAAGTATTATAAATATACTTTTTTATAAAAGGTAATGAATAAACATTTTTAATGCCTTGCAAGTACTATACATTATATTACTAAAAACATGAGCAGGACAAACCTCTAATATTCTTTCAAAAACGTCATCAGAGTCTGAGGTACAGTTGGTGTGGAGGCAACGCACAGCATGCTTAGCTTGTTTTGGGCTACCAGACTCGGCAAAACGCTGACAAATTGGAATGAGAACTGCTGTGAGATCTGGATACAATTCCCCTGCAAACAAAGATTACAATTAAGTTGGAAAATTCATTAGAACATTTCTACACAAATTCAGAATAAAACCTATGTAAAAACTTAACAAATTTAGCCAATTTTTCTTTTTATCACAGTGTCCATCTCTTACCAAAGTAGGGTGACCATTCATACCTGTGACCTGTATCAGTCTTTTCTACCCGAGCAGCAGCCAGGCCAATGGCCAATCTTCCTTACTGAGCACCTAGTCAATGAGGCCATTTGGGTTAGCAGCCCACCTAGCCATCATACTCTGGCTGATGAAGAATTTGCTGTTTCCCTTTGAAAATTTTTTACATTTTTCCAGGTAGGAGTATTGAAAATCCATTCAATATGAAGGATTAATGTTTTAAATTAGTTTACTCTTGACATCTTATGCCTGAGAGAAACATGGCTGCTGGAGTCTGATATCTGATATAACAGTGGTTGCAGCTGGTTTCCACAGGTCCTTTTCAATTTACCATATTCCAAGGTCAACTGCTGCTCGGAGTGGAGGAGTTGCAGTCATTTATTCTTTATTTCTGACAAGTGTTCATAATATACCAATTGGTGAGCCTGTTGTGTTATTTGAAGTAATGGAAGTAGCAGCAAACTGTCATCAGTATTCTGCGAGAGTGATGGTTATGTATCATCCTGATACCCATGACACATTCCTTGTTTCTTGATGAATTTAGTTTTCTTATTGAATCTTTTGCAAAAGTGTTCATCTTGTGTGTGGTGACTTCAGCCATTGGACTGATTGTCCACAACAGAAACCCTATTAATGAGGGTTCCTGGAGCAAGTACATTTGAATAATTGAGAATAAAATGACCACACAAGATGTCACATATTGGATATGGTTCTATTTACTGTCAGTTCTTGGAGCAGTAACCCTTTTACTGTCCAGACGACTAACATTAATATTGCTCTCAGTAGTAAAGAATCTTTTCCTGAAGGTAATGAAACCAAAAGTAAGAAATCTGATGGAAAACTTATGGATTATGCAGGCATAAAGTTAGCAGTCTGGACCCAATTTACACACTGGTGATTTTGCTCAATTTGAGTCCTATTTTAAGCCAATTCACTTGCTTCTCTCAACCAAATTCTTAGCTATTTCACTAAACTACACTAAAAATAGTTCAAAATAAACATTTCAGACATTTCAGGCACTAAAACAACATTTCTTCTGTTCATTAATCATGGCACCAACACTCTTATATTACACTTGCCTTTCTATTTTGAATTCATAGTCACACCAAAAATAAAAGATTTACCCTATTTCTCAGATAATAATTTTTTTTTTAATGAGTAGGAGGTTGGTAGAAAGCAGTCACCCAGGGAGGTACTATCTTCCAGCCAAATGAGTGTAAAACAGAAAACTGTATTTGTTACATGATAGTAGGAGTGCTAATGTATATTTTTTTCTATCTCATAAACACACAAGATAACAGGATCCATTAGGGCCCCACTTATACAGCAGGTAAAGTTCCAGGCAAGTGCTGGAAAGCGAACATCGCAGACAAGCAGAACGCCATTTTTTCCACTTATAAATGCCAGACAAGTTTACACTAACTTATATTAACCCTTTCAGGGTCCAGAGGCCAAATTTCAAAGTGCGCACCAGTGTCCAAGAATTTAAAAAAAAAAAAAAATTATTTTTTCTTATGAAATTGTAGAGAATCTTTTTCTGAAGGTAATAAAACAAAAAGTACGAAATTTAATGAAAAATTGATGAAATTATGCTCTCACGAATTTTGATGTGTCAGTGATATTTACGCATCGGCGATTTTGCCGACTTTGACTCCCATTTTAGCCAATTACATCATTCCAGTCGACCAAATTCTTAGCTATTTCACTAGTATTACTTCTGTTCTATCGATTGAGCACAAGAAATCGCCAAGTCAACTGTTTCAACTACAAAATAAAGTGATCGGAAATTGGTAATCTGGCCAATTTAACACAAAGTTCAAAATATTCCAATTTGAAAATAGGGTCCAGAATAAACAATGTAGGCATTCCTGGCACTAAACTAACATTTCCTCTGCTCATCAGTTGTGTTTTCAGGCTTTATAAATGCATTCCATTTTGATTTTTTATTCACATAATGAATTTTTATTCAAACCAAAACATAGAAGATTTACTGTTATGCAATACTGTAATAATTGTATAAATATCATCATCACATTTGTGAACGTATATCAGACCCACCAGCTGGCATGTATTAGACATGTGAGGTCGTTTGTTTACTCTTGAACATCAACAAAAATTTAACATTTCCGCTACTTTGAGCTCAGTTTCAAGCCATTCCCAGTACAAAAACCAATCAAAATCATCTCTACTTCTATAATATATCTTCCGTTCTATCAAATGAGACCAAGAAATAGCAAATACAACTATAAAAAGCATACGAAAAAGCACTGCAAAGTCACTGTTTTAATCGAAAATCGCGATCTGTTTTTTTTTCTCTCATTATACACTGTGTGCTGCAGGATTTGTTTTATGTGGTGCACACATACCACATAGACGTATTCTCTCATATCTAGGCCCAAATTTACCACTCACAGCTTATCAGAGTGAGCCGAGCTCATGGCATAGATCTATGGTTTGGACCCTGAACGTAAAGCCGTAGATCTACGGCACAGACCCTGAACGTAAAGCCATAGATCTACAGCAAAGACCCTGAAATGGTTAAGTTAGTAATAGAACTAAGCATTAAAAAAGTACGAAAGTAAAATACATACACAGTACAGTACGTTCATTACTTACCTTAAAATATTTGTAGTCTTAACCCCTTGACTGTCGCAACCCCCAATCCTGAGGTGTCTCCTGGTGTCACAAAATTTAAAAAAAAAAAAAAAAAAAAAAAAAATCTTATGAAATGATAGAGAATCTTTTCCCGATTGTAATGACACCAAAAAAAAAAAATTGATGGAAAACCGACTGAATTACGCTCTCGGGAAGTTAGCGACCTCGGCGATATTTACGAATCGGGGATTTTGCCCACTTTGAGCCCTATTTCCGGCTAATTTCATTCTTCCAGTCAGCTAAACTCATAGCTATTTCTTTAGAACTCAGTCTTTTCTATCAACTGAGTACAAGAAACTGCCCATTTACCAATTTCATCTACCCAATAACGTGGTCAGAAATTTGCAATTTGGCCAATTTCATGAAAATTAAAAAATATGACAATCTCAAAATAAGGTCCAGAATGAACAATGCAGACATTCCTCGCTATAAAATAAAATTTTCTTTGTTCATCAGTCATGTCTCCAGGCCCCTCTGATATTACTCTTGCTTTCTATTTTGAATTTTTATTCAAACAAAAAACAGAAGATTTACTGTTATGCAGACTACTGCAATATTGTAATAGCTGTACAAATAATGTCTACCCATTCATGACTGCATATTAGAATGGCTAGCTGGACATTTATTGGACAATGACATCATTTGTTTACTTTTGAACATAGGCAAAAATCAAATATTTCCCCAACTCTGAGCTCCATTTCCAGGTCTTTTTATAGCAAAACCAATCAAAATCACCTCTATTTCTATAATATGTTTTCCATTCTATCAAATGAGACCAAGAAAATGAGATTTTTTTTTTATATGGTGCACACTGACCACACAGACTCATTCTCTCACATGTGGGCCTACCAGCTTTCTCCTGCTTGAAGCCGCTAGAATTTATGAGTATATATACGTCAAACACGGTACCTCGTAAGACGTATATATACGACCAAAACAGTCAAAGGGTTAATGTAGGGCAAAAGGTGAGTGGTACTTATTTGTAGGCATAGGTAGCCCACCTGGGCTACACCTATCTACATAGCTATACGATATTTAATGTGACCCAGAGCCATATTATTACCATCGACATACCTTGTTCACCGAGTTTAATCATTTCTAACAACTACCTTCAGATGCCATCATAAATGAAGGGAGAAGTAATGAATAATTCATGCCAAGAATTGTAAACAAAAGCGGAATGTGAAGGGGAGTGACAGGGCCAAACACAGATTTATACACGTTTTCTCTAGCACTGGACCAGAGAAAACAATGTTTTCCCATCACCCGGCTGCCACACCTCCATAGCACTGTATAAACATAGCATGTTTGTAGGCTATGTAACATGTTTCTTATATAATTTTGAAGAAAATATCATAGGTGGATTAATGAAAATGTCTATACAGGTGCACATCCCTGTATCCAAAACCCTTGGGGCCTGTATTGTTTCAAATTTCAGATTTTTTCAAATTTCAGAATGATTCTCCCAGCACGGTGATGACTAATGTTCCAAACTCCACGAAAAAACTTCAGTTTTCAAAACTTTTCGAATTTCAAAATTTCAGAGAAAGGGTTGTGGACCTGTATTAACGTATGATAAGACATTTAATGTGCCCAAGAATAATTAGCAATACATACTATTAGTATTACTAGGCATTAAGATTAGAGGGACCCTCTTAGTGATTTTAATGTGCACCTGCACGCCACCCATAGTGTGTAAGTATATTTAGGTACAGTACACGTAAGTATAATTATCAGAGTACATATAAAATATGCAATAACTTTAAAACACTTGAAATTTTGGAAAGTTTCCAGACATAATAGAGAGATGTGCTCACGGAGAATGTAAACAAATCAGGTGGGGCGTGCCATATTAGAAAAATGGGGAGCCGTATAGTGAGTTTTGGTCATAATTTGAGATCGTCATATAAGCGGAACGCCGTAAAATGGGGCCCTACTGTATATCTTGCTATTTTTACTTACAACTAGGTCACACTACACATGCATGTACACATTTATTTATACACACTCATCCGAGTTTTCGTTGATTTTTACTTAATATGTTGGAGAGAGGGGGTAAAGGAGGTTTTGTGGGCAAGGGGCTTGGACTTCCAGCAAGCGTGCGTGAGCGTGTTAGATAGGAGCGAATGGAGACGAATGGTACTTGGGACCTGACGATCTGTTGGAGTGTGAGCAGGGTAATATTTAGTGAAGGGAT